ATGATTTCTCACTTTCCCTTTCTCTCCATCTCTCTCCATCTCTGGCAAGTGCACACGCTCTATAGCAAAAACAAAAACAAACAAAATCTAGAGATGATTTAAGTATATGGGAGGAAGGGCCATCCAGTGACATGGAGCTTAAGGCTGCTGGTTTCCACATGGCTGCTGCGCAGTTCAAGTACCGAACCCAGCAGCTTGGAAAACACACTAGGCATGTGAGTGTGCATGGCCAAAACCCCAGGAGGAGAGGGGGTTGCGATGTGGCCATTCCCCATGGACGGTGCGTTCTCACTTTCCCTCTCTTTCTGTCTCTCTCTGGCGAGAGCATGCACCCGCTGGCACACAAATAAATAAATAAATAAACGAACAAACTGTTCGGGAGGATATCCGTAGGTCATATGCAAATGCTATGCCTTCTCTTTGTTTATTTATGGAGAGAGACAAGCACCCTGAACGGGGCCTCATGCCCCTCGCCCCCACTGCCTCCCCAGCCAGCCAGGATCACAGCACATGTGTGCATGTCTGGCGTGAGCAGGTCAGCCCAGAAATCAAAGCTCAGCCTTCCACCCGGCTCCTGGCATGGCAGGGCGTGGTGCTTCTGCTGCACCCCTGCAGCTGGCCACTGGCCACATGCCACACCATGGGATCTGAGCATCCTTGGAAACCAATCCCCAACAGATGCTGAAGGAAGACCGCACACACACACACACACACACACACACACACATGTATAGATACATAGAGAAAGTGACCACACACACGGAGCGGATAGGGCAAGGATAGCAACACATTGACGATGGCTGATCTGGCTGGAGGCTGTGCACACGTGTGGCCATGCATTGTACTCTTCTGTAGGCGGGACCGATGCCATAGTAAAGAGCTGGGGACATAAAGCCTTTTTAGGACTCAGCCTGACCTGGCATTACTGTTGGAGCCCCAGAGGGACCCACCCGTGTCTCCTGCTTTTTAAATTTGCTCTAGGGTGTGTGTGCTCACCAGAGAGAGGCCGAGAAAGGGAAAGTGAGAAAGCACCCCCGAGGGGGATGACCACAGTCCCTTCTTCTCCATTCTCTCAGGATTTTGGAAACGCACACGGGCCTGGTGCATTTTACAAACCGTCAGGTCTAGGACTCAAATCACGCAGTCAACCAGGTGGGATCCAGCCACCCTAACCACCATGCTATCTAGCTGGCCCAAAATAGAACTTGGAAAATCTGAAGCATTCTGCTAGCCTGTTTGAGTAATGAATGGGTCACAAAAAACCCACTTGGCTTATTATTTAGCGATGATAGGCATAATTTACGTTTATTGAGACAGTCTGTTGCTATCCCCTGCCTCAGGCCTCTGAGTAGCCAGGGCCACGGGCATGTGCCACCGTGTCTGGCCCTTTTGAATTTTTCATGCACTTTAGGGCCAGGTCTGTGGCTCAGTGGTAATGTGCTGCAAGAGCAGCTTGATCCCAGATAGCCACTGCAGTTGGAACCCCCAGTCTGGTCAGCCTGAAACACGCTGGGCACGTGTGTGAGTGCCCAGGGCTCAGCAGCCTGACGGCTGGAGGCAGGGTCACGGCATAACCAGCCCTGTGGAGGCCCTCTTTCACCTTCACTTGTGTGCCCACTCACTCGATCATGAATAAAGAGGAAAAAGTTTTTTAAAAGGGGCTCAATTGGGACCAGCAGGTGGTGTGGTGGTTAAGGTGCTGGACACTCCCACATAGCCGATCATGGTTGGAGTCCTGGACCTGGTGGCTTGCTTTCTCTCTCTCTCTCTCGTCAAATTAAAATAAATGAATGAATAAATAAAATTAAATAAAATCTTTAAAAAGGGGGGAGCTCAATTAAAAAATGTTTATGGGGGGGCTGGCAGGTGGCACAGTAGTTAGGTGTTGAACTCCCACTGGTCGACCATGGTTCAAGTCCTGGACCTGGTGACTTGCTTTCTCACTTTCCCTGTCTCTCTTTCTCGCTCTCTCTGGTCACATTAAAAAAAAATAATAAATAAAATAAACAATTGTTTGAAAAATAAAAAAGTTTATGGGACCAACCAGTAGCACAGTGGTTAAGGCAGCTGGATCCCACATGGCTGACGGGGCAGTTTGAGTCCTGAATCAGGCAGCCTGAAAAACATGCCGGGTATGTGTGTGAGCGCCCGAAATCCCAAAAGGAGGGGGAGATGGGATTGTGGCATCCCTGTGGGGATCCCCATAGGTGGTGCTTTCTCACTTTCCCTCTTTCACTCTCTCTGTCTCTCTCTGACAAGCACACTCACCCTCTGGCAAAAAAAAAAAAAAAAATTACAATAATGAAAAGCGTAGGACTGAGATCAAGTGTAAGAAAACATGGATTACTAAGAGGAGCAGAGGAGGAGAGGAAAGGCCCCCTGAGAAGAGCATGAGGGTGCTGCGGTCCCCGCCGCCCAGCTAGCCAGGGTCACAGGCACACGCCGGGGCACCCTGACTGAGCCTCCCGTGTGGCTCTAGCACCCCTCCTGCACATCTGCGGCTGGACTGTGGCTCCTTTTTCAGACAGGTATGCATGGCCAGGCCGGCTTGAACTTGTGGTCCTCCTGCCCAGCCTCCCAAGGAGCTAGAAACACAGGCACACACCACTGTGCCTGGCACTGATATTTTAAGGTTTGTTTTTTGTTTTTTGTTTTAGAATTATGTATTTATTTTTATTTATTCATTCACTTATTTTAATCTGACCAGAGAGAGAGAGTGAGAGAGAAAGTGAGAACGCACGCTACCAGGTCCAGGACTCAAACTGTGGTCAGCCACTTGGGAGTGTCCAGCACCTTAACCACCATGCCATGCCGCCTGCTGGTCCCTGATATTTTCTTTTTTTTTTTTAAGTTTTTTTTTTTTTTGCTATAGGGCATGTATGCTTGCTGGAGAGAGACAGTAAGAGGGAAAGTGAGAAATCATCCCCTGGGGGGATGGCCAGGCTGTAACCCCTTCTCCATTCTCCTCCTGGGATTTTGGGCACACACACACCTGGCATGATTTTTAAGCTGGCAGGTTTAGGACTCGAACCGCCATCGGCCATGTGGGATCCAGCACCTTAAACCACTACACCACCTGCTGGCTCTCATACTTTAGTTTTCTGAAGTTTGCGGAGAATAAAAATTGGCACAGTTCAAGTATTTTTGGAAAGAAAACTAGCGTACGTGGGTTGGTAATCAGAGTGTAAATGCCTTATGCCTTTTATAACGTATATAGTAGAGAATGTTTATACTTGTTATAGAATGTTTATAGTTGTTTTAAAATTTAAAACAAAGTACCCCCAAACCTGGCCCTCCTTCTGCACTGAATCTCCTCACGTCTCGATCTTGGACTTCACAACCTCTAGGACCATGAGAAATCAATTTTCCTTGTTCATAAGCCACCTAGCCCATGGCACTTTGTCGTAGCAGCCTAAGGGGCTAAGAGAATTAGGCGCTCACTCCACTAGAGCAGGCAGGGCTTAGAGGAGGTGAACGGCGCACGGGTGACCATCACAGCAAGGACGCCAGTCTGTACAAAGCACCATGGCCGCACTGAGAAAGGGGTCAGGGGATCGGGCTGGGAAGAATGTTTGGGAAGCCTTCACAGAGGAGGTGATGTGCAAAAACTGGGTTTTGAAGTAGCGGTAGGAATTTTCTCCTTGGGGAAGAAGTGGATCCAGGGGCCGGCAGGTGGCACAGTGGTTAAGGGCCCTGGACTCCCACATGGCCAGTCGTGGTTTGAAAGCAACCTGGCGGCTTGCTTTCTCTCTTCTCTCTTTCTCTGGTCAAATTTAAGAAGAAAGATTTTAAAAATGATTCTTATTTAAGAAAGAAAGAAAGAGAAAGAAAGAAAAAGAAAGAAAGGAAGAGGAAAGAAAGAAAAAGAAGAAAGAAAGAAGAAAGAAAGAAAGAAAGAAAGAGAAAGAAAGAAAGAGAAAGAAGAAAAAAATAAAGAGAAAAAGAAGGAAAGAAAGAAAAAGAAGTGATTCCAGGTGGGAACAGCACATGTGGAGGCTCAGAGGTGCAGGGAAGGAAGCAGCAGGGTGGAAGGAAGCCTGAGGGGAGCATCTTAACCCTAAGTACCTGGTAGCCAGTGACCCTCAACCTCTTCCCACTTCAACACGCTTGAGGCTTCTGGTCTGTCCTGCTAAGAATGGAAATTCCTTCTCAAGTTTTTCTTGTGAGTCGGGGTAGCCGTCTGAATCCCCACAGGGAAACAAGGTAAGTCCCCTTTGGGAGAAGCCCTTCTGCACTCAGGAATGGAGGCCACGGGTGACGACAGTCACTGGGTTTTCAGGACGGAAGACGTGGGCACGATTTGAGCTGCCGGAGGATTGTGTAGCCGGGTATGGAGGCTGGGCTCAGGGGGCCAGTGCTCCAGTCCAGGGTGGTGGTCACACGAGCTCTGCCCATCTGCCAGGGCACAGGGGGCAACTTTCTGCCTGGAGGAAGGGTCCCCTGCTCTGTCAGGGGCGGGGACTGGAGGTGGGAGAGAAGGCAGGTCACCTGGATAGAGAGACGAGGGAGGACGATGTCTGAGAGTTTCCTCCCAGGGCCAGGCCACACAGGGGACAGCGGGGCCATGTGGGGAGTGCGGCCACAGAGCTTCGGTGTGATCAGATCCCCAGCTCCACCCTGGATGCCTGAGCCACCTGAGACCAACGCCCTCTCTCTCTATGCTGGGAAGTTAGGGTGACTCCCTTCTCCACAGGGGGGCTGGAGGAGCCTGAGTTGCCAACTTGGGGAGCGTTTGGACAGGGCAGGCATGGCGGGATTGTTCCTGGGGCAGCCTGGACCCCAGGGGTGGGGGTAGGGGTGTCCGGGCTTGTCTTAGCAGTAACTTATTGTTCTGTTCCGACCCCTCCCTGATGATGCCAAATCCTCCGAGCCTGCAGACCTGCGTCCAAACCTGTCCAACCAGTTCTTGGGAGGAGGGGGCACCCGGGAGGGGCAGCGGGAGATGCCAGAGCAGCTTCCCCCTGCCCAGCTTAGACGGCAGAGCCTCTGGGGCAGTGGATGGTGCGGACGGCCCGTAGGCACGATAGCTGCTGGATGCCGGGCTGGGCCATGGGGCCCCGTGGGGGACAGTCCGGGCTGCTGATGCCGCTGTTGCTGCTGCTGACCCAAGTCCAGCCCCAGGAAGGCCTGGGTGAGTGACAGCAAGGGCTGGGCAGGGGCGCCCACTGTGTCTCACCTCCCTCCGCTGCCTCCCCAGTCCTCCCACCGCTGAAGATGGGGCCCTGGGTGGGCCAGGGAGACAGCCCCCCAAGACTGTGAAGCAATTGCGCTTCCTCTCTCCCTGTGGGCTCTCATTCCCCAGTTCTCACCATGGCCCCCTTCTTCCTTTCCCTGAGGAGGGGTTAACCGGGGCGGGGGGGCTGCAGGCATTGCTCTCCTCTCACTCGGCTACCCCCTCGCCTCCTCACCTCTGCTGCTCCCCTCCTCTGCCCTGGTTTAGCAAACATCAGGACCTGCTGGGTCCAGTGTCCTGGGCCTCAGAGGTAAGATCGCGCTCTGAGAAAGGAGAGCTCAGCCGGCCCTGCCCGCTCAGGCCTTCCCCCAGGAGGGCCTGAACCTCTGGAGTTGAGCTGAATTCAGTGGAAACGAATCCTATTGCACTGAATGGAGCCGAATGGAGGGAGCGGAGTGCAGAACCTTGCACCAAAGCCCCCCTTATTCCTTTGCTCTGCCCCATACTGGGCTCAGGAGAGGAGGTGGCCCTGCTCCTATCCCCGGGACTCAAGAGTTGGGGAATAGTTAAGGGGGCTGAGTTCTTGAAGCAGCAGGCCTAAACACAGGACACGTTGCAATCCTGGTCCCCTCTGGCATGTGGACCCAGAATGCTTGTCCCTGTTGTCCCCACCCCTTCCCCAGGAGGAGCTAAGAGGGGACACTGTCCTGAGGAGGAAATGCCTGGAGCCTGGGGGGGAGGCAGCAGAGAACTGGGTGGGGAGGAGAGGACATCCCTGACTCCAAGCCAACCTCTGTCCCCAGAGCCCACAGGCCCTCTGGATGGTGCATGTCCAGGCCTGGGACCTCAGTGGAGGGGACTCTCTTGTGTCACCCCCTCCACCTCCCAAGCCATTCATTCATCTCCTCAAGGGAACTGAGGGACGCAGGGTCACTGGGCGTGTCGGGAGCAGAGTCCAGCCAGGACTTGGGCTCCCCTAGATCTGAGCGTCGTCCCCATGAGGTCTGGGGGCTCCTGTGCCCTTCCCTGGGACACATGTAGGGTGGGTGGGGCAGGTGCCCTCCCACAGTGTCCATCCTTGGAGGCTCCTAAGTGACAGGCCAGGGCCTGGACTCAGGCCACCCACCAGCTGGGCCCAGGGCTGCTCCACGGGGAAAAGCTGCCATGGAGACTTCCTGATTCATGCCTGATCTGAACCCCCAGGATGAGCCCCTAACTCTTCCCTCAGATCGGGGCTCCAGGAATAGGGCTGTGTCTCCCCCTCAGACTGGGCTGGGAAGCCTAGAGCAGCGGGGGGCTTGGCTGTCCCGCTCAGCCTCCTGCCCCTGCCCGCTCCTCCACCCACCTCAGAGCGCATCAGCTACACGCCACAGCTGTCCAGCCCCACCCTGGCCGGGAGGCTCACCCAGTCCACCTTCACGCTGGAGCAGCCCCTGGGCCAGTTCCATCGCCCCAACATCTCCGACTACGACAGCATCTGGCTGGTGGTGGCCCACGGCAACGGTGAGTGCTGCTGTGCCAGGCCTTGGCTGTCCCTCTGTGAAACGGGCCCGAGGGGACCACGGATGTGTAATGGTTATGTCGCCGACTTTCAGTGTAGGCCATCACAGTTTGAGACCTGGACCCGGAGGCTTCAAATTCACACTTGGGGGGGGGCAAATGGCATGGTGGTTAAGGGTGCTGGACTCCCATGTGGCCGACCACTGTTCAAGTCCTGGACCTGGTGACTTGCTTTTTCACTTTCTCTCTCTCCCTCTCATTCTGTCCCTCTCTGATCAAATTAAAAGATAAATAAATAAATAAAATAATTATTTGGGATGGAGCCGGCAGGTGGCATGGTGGTTAGGGCGGCTAGATTCCTACATGGCTGACCACGGTTAGAATCCTGGACCTGGAGGCTTGTTTTCTCACTTTCTTTTTTTCTCCTTGTCTGTCTCTGGTGGACTCCAATAAAATAAAATAATAATGACAATAAAATTAAATAAAATAATTATTTTAAAATAATTATTATTTTGGGAAAAAAGCTCACATGGGACCAGCAGTTGGCATAATGGTTATGTCGCTGGACTCCCATGTAGTTGATCATGGTTTGAGTCCCGGACCTGGTGGTTTGTACTCACACAGGGTGCGTGCGTGTGTGCCCAAGATCCCGAGAGGAGAATGGAGGAGAAGGGATTGTGGCGTGGCCATCCCCCCTGGGGAGTGATTTCTTGCTTTCTGTTTCTCTGTCTCTCTGGAGAGTGCACGCACCCTATAGCAAATACCTCTAAAAAATCCAAAAACCTCATGCTGGGCGGCGGCTGGCAGGTGGCATGGTGGTTGAGGGTGCTGGAGTCCCACATTGCCAACTGTGATTTAGTCCCAGACCTCGTGGCTTGCTTTCTCATTTTCCCTCTCTCTCTCTTGCTCTGCCCCTCTCTAGTCAAATTAAAATAAACAAATAAAGTTAAATAAAATAATTATAAAAGAAAAAAATAAAGCTCATGTTGGGTCCATGTGTGTGCTCAAAATCCCACAAGGAGAATGGAGGAAAAGGGATTGGAGTGTGGCCATCCCCCTGGGGGGTGATTTCTCGCTTTCTGTCTCTCTGATGAGTGCACACACCCTATAGCAAAAATTTCTCTTAAAAAAAAAGAAAGAAAGAAGAAAGAAAGGGGCTGAAGGAGTGACAGGTGTGTGTGTGTGTGTGTGTGTGTGTGTGTGTGAGAAACGGGATAGTGCTGGGGGCATCATGGGCTGACATGGCAGGAGGGGGTGGAGTCTACTCTCTGGTCCCCACTGTCTAACGCGCAGTGCCCTCCTCAGCCACCCAGAACTTCAGGGCCCCACAGAGGACGGCGGACATCCCCACCCCCGCCGACTTTCACCGTAAGGGCTACTACCTCACTCTGATGGCCCACCGAGGGCTCTACCCAGCCGGCCCAGCCAGTAGCCAGCTCCGAGTCCTCCGTGTCGGCAACGATACCAGCTCCCCCCCCCAGCCACAAGGGGCTGCAACCACCCCCTGCCGGGCTCGGGCCCCTACAGGTGAGGGGCTCTGCCAGGTCTGGGCTGAAGTGGGGGTATCCCTGCCTGTGCCCAAACCTGAGCCAGGGGCAGCTCCCACGTGGTTCACGGTACCTCACTCTAGTCCTGCCCATGGGAAATGAGGCAGGGGGCAGGCCGGGCAGGCCCGGGGAAATCAGCCCACCCTAGAGCAGAGGGTTGCCCACCTCAGGCCCCAGCCCAGACCACACAGGTGGAATCTCTCTATCCCGACGTGGTGTTCCCCTGGCGAGGACTGGCTTTGGCCCATAACTCCCTTGCTAAGTGCTTTATCCACTTGTGTTCAGTGCTGGGATATCTCATCCACCCACGCACATTTCCCAAATGGGGACAATGAAGCCCGGGGCGGGGGGTGCACCCAAGGTCACACAGCTGGAAAATGTTGCTGTGGATTCGAACCCCTTCTACTGAACCCTGAGGCTGTGTTCTTTAGGCCCCACCTCTTCCCCATCAAGGCTGCTCTTCCCAGGTCCTGGGAGCAGGGGGACCTGGACCTAGAAGTTCACAGGAACCAGGGCCTAGAGGTTTCAGGATGGGAGACCTTACCCCCGTGCTGGTCTGTCCAGGGTGAAGTTCCTGGTGATGAATGATGAGGGCCCGGTGGCAGAGACAGAGTGGTCCAGCAAGACCTACCTGCAGCCAGGTACAGAGCCTGATGAGCAGCTCAGACACTAGGGGCTGGGAACTGCGAGGCCCAGGGGTGCCCGAGGACAGGCCAGCCCTACTAGTCAGGGCCTGCTGAGCCTGCAGGTGCCAGGGTCCCTTCCCCGGCCTGGGGTCCTACCAGCCTGGGTGGAGGGTGGTTGGTCTGAAGGTTGCA